CCTCTGCAGGGTCCGCCAGGCTCCACGTGATGTCGGCCGGTGGCCGCGAGGCGGCGGTGCAGCGCAGAGTCACGTTGCTGCCCGCGGTGACATAGAAGGCAGGGGCGGCATCGCGGTCCGAGGAGACTCTGATGACCGGTGGATCTGGGCCGTCTGAGGGGAGGAAAGGGGTCGGAACTTCGAGAGTCGGGGTCACCTGAGACTCTTCCGGGCTCCCGAGAGACTAAGCCTCCAGCCCCCTCCTCCTCAAAGAATCCGGAGCTCGAGCCCCTGATCCCTGTCCCCCCCCCCGAGGCAACCCCCAACTCACAGAAAACACTGACGTCGGCCGCCGCCTCTGTGTGGCCGAAGGGGCTGCGGACGCGGCAGGTGTACCGGGCGTGGTCGCTGCGCACAGGGCGCGCAATGAGCAGCTGGTCGCCCTCTGCGTGGATCCGGGGTGGCTCCGCTCCCTCGGGGTCCGCTGCCTCCAGAGCGCGTCCGTCCCGGGTCCAGCTCAGCTCCCCGCGACCCGGCCCCCACCCTATGCAGCGCAGCCGGAGCTCGGTCGCACCCTCCTCTGTCTCTGGGGCCTTGGGCTGCACCGATAGCTTGGGCAGGGGCTCTGGGAGAGGGGAAAGGGACTCAGGACTCCCTCATCCCGTAGGTCTAGGACTCCAGGCCCCAGCCCCCTCCACCTCTTACACCTGGGACTTCCGTCTTAGCAGAGGCCCCCCTTTTAACCCTCCTCTTGGCCCCAGGAATCGTCTTCTCACAGACTCATAAGTCTGAGTTCCCACCTCTCTCCTCTCCTGGACTCAGGAGTTGGGACCCCTAGGAGTTTTGGTCCCCAGGTGCAACTTCCCTCAAGCACCCCTGTCTTTTGCCCCCAGCTCCTCTTCTCCCTCCTTCCAACCCAGAAGCCCTCTCTCCCCCGTCCAGGAACCCCTTCCTCTGGGGAGGAAACATGCTCAAAACAGCAGGAAACTGCCCAAAGCAGCCCTGGTCACCAGCACTGGGGACCTCAGAACCCACTTACCATACACACCCACCGTGAACTCCCGAATCTGCCGAGAAACCCCAGCCCGGATAACCTCAGCTGTGTAGACCCCAGCATCCTCTAACTGGGCAGAGGTGAGTTCCAGGCCCCCTCGAGCCTGGTCAAATCGTAGGCGGTCTCGGTGAGCAGGGTCCAGGCTGATCAGAGGGGCCCCTAGCCCCAGGACCCCAGCTGCCAGTACTTTGGAACCTTGGCGCCAAACCACTAAAGGGGCTGGAGGGCCAGGGCTGGGGAGTGGAACCAAAGGAAGCCGGATGGTGGTCCCCACTAGCACTGCGAGAGGCCCCTCCATCTGTGGGGGGAAGCTTGCCCCTGAGTGGGCCTCCGTGGGAACTCTGGGGTCCAGGCTCTGGGCAGAGATGTCACTATCCAGATCCTCAGAGAATTTTGAAACTGGGGCCTCCCCAGAGACTTCAGTATCTGGGACTGGAGCAGACATGTTGGAAGCTGGAGTCTTCACAGAGACGGAAGACTCCGGGTTTTTGGCAGAAACTTGAGGACCCGAGGTATCAGGAAATACTTCAGAACCAGGGATTCCAGAGAAGGAATCTAGCTTCACAGACGGGCTGTCAGCAGAAACGTTTGACCAGAAGGACCCAGGCGCATCGCTGGGATCCAAGGCTTCAGGAGACCATTCAGAATGAGGGATATCCGTGGAAGCTTTTGAAGCTGGAGACTGATCTGAAACTTTCCCACTGGGGGGTTTAATGGAGGGAACTTTTGAATCCGGGCCCTGAGAAGAACTTTCTGAGTCCAAGGATAAATTGGTTCGCTGAATTCCAGGAGAGACTCTGAGTGCGAGGACCCCTACTCTGGAGGCTGCAGAGGAGAAGAGGGGAGGGCATTGCTGGGCTGCTGAAAAGGGGACAGGTGGGGAAGGGGCTGAGCAGGTCACTTACCCAGGAGCAGGAAGAGCGGCAGAGCCAGTGAGGTGTCCATGGTGCTGGCCGCACCAGCGAGGATACTGGGGCAATACCCAGGGCCTGCACCCATCCCTTCTGGGCTGGTCGGGGCTGGACGAGTCGGACAAGACTGGTAGCTTCCTGGGCGGGGAAGGGAATCAGACCCAGTGGGAGGTGTCAGCATCCCCTACCCAGATCAGGTGCCTGAACCACCACCCCACCCTACTTGTCCTCATCATCTGGTCCAGTATGGGGGGGAGGCCCAGCCTGACCCCTGCACTCCCCACCCTCTGGGGGAAGATGGTGAGAATCGAGTACCAGCCAGAAACTTGGTAACAAATTCATGGAAAAGCCAGGAAGGCTTCCTGGAGGAAGGTAAGTTGCCCTTTCAGAGAGCATTCCCCCCTCTGATGGCCTTGGCCTCAGCCGAGTCTTCCTCCTCTGCAGCCTCCTGGCCTCAAGTCCAATCTGTCCTGCCTGCAGCCTCAAATCCCCATGTCTGACCCTGCTCCTAACTCTCCCATGGTTCCCTCTTGCCCTCAGGACCAAGTCTCAAGTAGCTATCTCTCACCCAGTCATCTCTTCTGAGACCCAGAGGTGCATCTCCATGTCCTCCAGGCACTCACATGCCCTGTGTCCCACTACACTCTCCAACACGACCCTTCTGCATTCTCCATCTCCTGCGATCTAGAGACATGTTGTGAGCCTCCCCTCCTTCCCCGCCTCCCTTCCCTTCACTGCTGTCAGTCTCTGAAACCCACCACTCCTACCCCTGAATCTCTCTGCTCCATCCCTTCCTCTCTGTTCCTACTGGCTGAGCCTCAGCACAGGCCCTCACTTCTCCCTCTGTCCCTTTGCCTGACCTCCTCCCTCCAGCTTCTTGTCTTCCTTAGTCCATGGATTCCCACTTGGCCTTTGAGTCTTTCCAGAGCTGACCCTGCCCCTCCATAGCTCCCCAGTGCCCCCAGGAGACAACCAGGTTCCTCATCAGAACTGCCAGGCTGATACCCACCCACTTTCCCCCTCCAGCAATTATTCTTTGAACACCCGGCCATTCCTCTGCCCATCTCTCCCCTCCCTGCCTTTGCAAGGGCAGCTTCCTCTGCCTGGAATGCTTATGCTCGCTCCCCCACCCCCTCCTCTGACCTGGCTAAACCACAACTAGTCCTTCAAGTCTCACCTTATTAAGAACCAAAATAATAATTACCACTTCTCATGTGCCAGGAACCGTGCGAAATGCTTTCTGGACATTATTGGGCTGAACCCTTCTAAACACTCTATGGGCCAGGCGTTTACAAACCGGGATACTATGGCCCAGAGACGTCAAGGGACCTGCAGAGGTGGCACAGCTGGAGGGAGGCGTTTAGCCCAGGATGGTCAGGCTGCTCACTCTTTCAGAAAACTTCTGCCACCCCATGCTAATAATAATAATGGCCATAATATACAGTGAGAATCTTCTGCATGTTGGGTATGGGCCTGCAGGTACTACATTAATTAAACCTTCAAAACCCCATGGAGGTACATTTTGTAGATTAAGAAATAGCTGCAAATTCAACCCTCCTGCTATTAAGAAATAGGGTCAAATTTGCAGCAACATGGATGGAACTGGAGATCATCATTCTAAGTGAAGCCAGAAAGAGAAAAATATCATATGATATTACTTATATGTGGAATCTAAAACAAACAACAACAACAACAAAAAAAACCCCACATAAGACAGACTCACAGACGTAGAAAACAAACTTATGGTTACCAGAGGGGAAAGAGGGTGAAAAGGGATAAACTGGGAGTTTGACATTTGCAGTTACTACCATGTATAAAATAGATAACCAACAAGTGCCTACTGTAGAGCACAGGGAACTGTATTCAGTATCTTGTAGTAGCCTAGAATGAAATAGAATGTGAAAATGAATGCATGTATGTACGCGTATATGCTGTGCACCAGAAACTGACACATCGTAAACTGACAACACTTCAAGTCACTTTTTAAAATAAATAAATAAAAGCTATTAAAATTTTTTAAAAAAGAAAAAGGAATAGGGTCTATGTTCCCTCCCTTGGGTCCGGGTAGTCTCTCCGACTGTCAGACCAAGAGAGCAGAGCAGAAGTGGCCCTGCGCTAATTTTTGCATCTAGAACTTGAGAGACTGGCGCCTACGCCGCTGCCTATACTGGGATCCAGCTGTGAGGAAGCTCAAGCGGCCCCAAGGAAAGGAACCATGGCCCCTGGCCAACAGCCAGCTCGAGCCCACAGACCCAGTCAGCTTGCCAGGCACAGGACTGAGCCACCTTGGACACCCCATTTGAACCATCCCCACCAAGGCTGCATGGAAGATTGGCAAGCTGTCCCTGCCAAGCCTCGCCCACATTTCAGATTTATGAGCAAAATAAATGATTGTTGGTTTCCACCACCAAGCTTTGGAGAGGTCTGTTACGCCACAACAGACAACCAGAACGCAGGTGTTATCACTTAACTCCACCTGAAGGAGGAGGAAGAAACCCAGGCTCCAAGAGTGGGAACTTGCTGAAGGTCCTCCCAGTGTCAGGGATTGGCCAGACTGGGATCTGAACCCAGGGCCTTGGGATGCAGACCCCAGGCCCTTAACTAGTACACCAAGCTCTTACTATTCCATCGTCCAGATGAGGAAACGGAAGCTCGGAGGCAGGAAGTAACTCACTCAAGATCTCATAGCTGGTAAGTGTGAGAGTGAGGGTCTAAAGTCACAAAGCCTGACTCCAGGCCCCAGCTCCTTATGCCTAGAAGAGGTTTGACTGTCTGTTGCTTGCCTGTCCCCCCTAGCCAGGACCAGAGCCTACAGCCTCATTCCCTCGTGTCCAAAGCTCAGCAAGGACCTGGCACCTGGAGTATCCAGCAAAATCTTTGCAGATGAAAGTCCTTCTTCTACCCCCTCCCACCAACCTCAATGATATTTTCTTTTTCTTTCTTTCTTTCTTTCTTTTAAATGGAGGTACTGGGGATTGAACTCAGGACCTCGTGCATGCTAAGCATGCACTCTACCACTGAGCTATACCGCCCCTTATATTTGTCTTTCAAGAATCAACTTAAACGCCATCTCCCTGGGAGGTCCCTTTGACCCCACAGGCCAGGTCAGATGCCCCATGTGGGTTCCCAAGGGAAGTGGGTTCCCTCAGCTTATAGCACACAGCACCCTGCCTTACAGCCGCCTCTGTCCATGTGTGTCCCCCCCTTCAACAGAGAAGCTCCTCTTGGACAGGGACTGGATGTGACTCACCTGGGTCCCCAGCATCACTTAGCACAGGGCACAGGGCACAGGACCCAGCATGCAGGAGACTTAAGTAAATGTTTGCTGAATGAATCAAAGAATGGGTTTACAGGGAATGGGTTAACAGAGACAGACGTTGGAAGAGTCATGGTTTTATTGCTGAGTTTCAGGGGAGGGGCTCAAATGCACCCAGTCTCCCGCAGCTTGGCCACCAGGTCCTCTGTAGTCTCCACCTTGACGCCGGCTGTGCGCTGGGGTGGGTCTTCCACGCTAAGCACGGAAAGCTTGGAGGTCAGGTCCACGCCCAGGTCCCCGGCCTTGATCACCTCAATTTTCTTCTTCTTGGCTTTCTGCACACGGGAAGCCATGGTTCCCAGGGCTGCCAGAGCCTCTGGCTACCCTCCAGCAGCCTCCTTCCACAGGGGCCACATCTGCACAACCACTCCCACTGGCTGAACCCTTCTGGATCTGCCCACTGGCCAGAGCACATGTGACCTCTTACAGGGCTACATCCGGTGCCGACAATTCCCGCTGGCTGGGATGCCCTGGGAAGCCCTCCCACTGCGAGAGTCCTCCTTTAGACAGCCACCTTGGGAAGCCCTTCACTGGCTAGCAACCTTATCCTCTGGCAATAATCTCAATGGACTTTTGGCCAAGATGACCAATTGTACTCTCCCTATTAGCTGAGATGACTCATTGAACCCTCCCTACTAGATGTGATGACCTACTGAACACTCCCTGTTGGCTGGTATGACACACTGAAATCTCCCTATTGGCCAAGATGACTCAATGAATCCCCCTTGTTGGGTGAAATGACATACTGAGCCCTCCCTACTGGCTGAGATGACTCAATGGACTCTCCTTGTTGGCTGAGATGATTCACTGAACTCATCCATTGGCTAAGATGACACACTAAACCCTCCCTATTGGCTGAGATGACCCAGTGAACCCATCCTATGAGCCAGGACGAACAGTGAACTCTTCCTGTTAGCCAAGAGACCCATGAATTCCTCCTAGTTAGCCATCATGGCCTAAATGACTCCTTCCTGTTGGTTAGGATTACTAGGGAAATCCTCCCTGATGAACCAAGATGATCTAATGAATCCTCCTTATTCAGCTAAGATTACACAGTGAACTTTTCCCATTGGTAGGAACGACAGGGGAGTCCTGGTCCTAGGCCTATTAGCCAGTGAAGCCTTTCTATTGGCTGAGGTAATCAGGAACCCTCTCTGTGAGCCAAAACAGCCCCCATGAACTCTCACTATTGGCAGAAATGGCCCAGTGGGACCCCCTCGGTTAGCCAAACTGACCAGGAGATCCCTTCCTTTGGAGGAGACATTGCTTTGGTCCTCTTTCCTCCCACCTGACCACCTGGGAGCCCTGGGCCTGCAGCCCTTGCCATTCCCAGGCCCTCGGCGGCCCGTCTGCCAAGCACTCACCATGATGTTGGGCAACGTGGCATAGCGGGGCTCATTGAGTCGCAGGTCAGCAGTCACCACGGCGGGCAGCTTCAGGCGCAGGGTCTCCAGGCCCCCGTCGATTTCCCGCTCCACTTTCACCTTGTCCCCTTCCAGCGTCACCTTGGAGGCAAACGTGCCCTGGGGAGGGACAGCGTTGGGGGGAGCACGGGAGAGGTGAACTCAGGACAGGCACAGAGAAGTCAGGCCTGAACACAGGCGCGGAGGAGCCAATGAATGAGAACACAGGCGGGGGAGTGCCCCCAAGGTGACCTTCAGACAAGCTCAAACATGGGAGGAAGCCGGCGGGGGGCGGGGTGTCCTAGCTCGGTGGTAAGGTGAATGCTTAGCATGCATGAGGTCCTGGGCTCAATCTCCAGTACTTTCATTAAACATAAATAAATAAAAACCTAATTACCTGCCCCCACCCGCACCCCCAATTTTTTTTTTAATGGTAGGAAACCATAGAAAAAGATCTTAAAAATCCAACGGAGGGTGTCTTTACTGGGACCCAGGATGTATGTAGGTCCTGATGTCCCAAACCTGCCAGTTAGATCTCCCTTCCTTAATGACAACGAATGCTTACTTAGTACTAGGCACTGTTCAAAGCAACTGAAATGTATTAAGTCATCAGATCCTTGTAGGAACTTTATGAGGTCAATGCTATTATCCCCACTGTACAGATGAGGAAAACTGAGGCAGAGAGAGGCTCAAAAACGTGCCCACTACCACGAGAGATGGCAGATCTGAAACCTAGCGGTCTGATTCTAGGCTTCATGTCATGGTCTCACCTACCCACCATTCTATCCCCAAGAGCTCCCCCCAGGCCCCTCTGCTGGGCTGACAACAGAGCCTCGTCTACACTTTGATCCTCAAAACAGCTTCTGAGGCCCCATCTTCTTGACTCAGTGCCCACCCTCTGGCCAAGGCTCCTGTGCCCTTCCATCCCGAATCACATGATCGACACCCTCTTTGTCTAAACAGCCTGTTCTCTCTATTCCATTAATCACTGAATAAATCTTTCAGGTCTTAGCTGGAATGTACCATGAGCCCAGCTCTGAGGACACACTGTAAACAAAACTGAAAAGGCCCCAGCTTTGGGGGCACTGTTACTGGCAGAGAAGACTGCCAGCGACCAAGTAAATACACAGTGGCCACTGGCCCCGTACGGCTTCTGAGCACGTGAAATGTGGTTGGTTCCACTGAGGGAAGGACGGAGTTTTTAAGTTGATTTCACTAATTTAAATTTAAGAACTGATAAGCAAGATACATTATCATGATTGTAGTGATGATTTCATGTGTCTATAACATGCTTACCAAATTGTACACTTTAAATATGTGCAATTTATTGTGCAGGTCAATTTTATCTCAATAAAGCTGTTCAGAAAAACCAACCAAAACGATACTTCATGCAGTGACTGGGAAACATTTAAGAATGTTTGGAACAACTGGGGTGTATGAATCTACTTTTTCAACTGTGAGTTTCAAGAATCTAAATTAAGTAATTTCAGATGGAAATTGAGCATCTGAATTGAATGTGCTGTACATATAAAATGCACACTGGATGTTGAAGACTTCATGCAAGAAGGAAAAAGGAACATAAAATAGCTCAATAGCTTTTCTACTGATTACACATTGAAATGATATTTTAGAGATACTGAGTTAAATAAAATAGGATTAAAATTAATTTCACCTTTTTTACTTTTGGAATATGGCTGTGGGAAATTGTAAATGTCCTATGTGGCTTGCGTTTCTACTGGACTGGACTGGGGAGCCTGGATTTGGGGTGGGGGCATGAGTATTTCATAGAAGCCTCTCTGAAGAGGTGATAATCTGTGGAGAGACCTGGAGGGGAGTGAAAAGTTCTGAGGCAATCCCAGAGAACCCTGTTCCAGGCGGTAGGAACAGCAAGTGCAAAGGCCCT